TATGGAACGTCAACCCAAAACCGATAAAATTTTGGGCATGTATTGGAACTCAAATAATGACGTGTTGGAATTTCAGTTTAGATTCCACAAGATACCTCGAGAAGTCATCGATTGTAAACGACCACCAACTAAGAGAGAACTTTTGGGGTTAGTCATGGCCATTTACGACCCATTTGGTCTATTAGCTAACGTCACCATAACGACCAAATTGATACTTCAAGCCACGTGGAAACAACCGATCGATTGGGATGATCCATTGCCTTGTGAACTAGAGTCGCGGTGGATAATATGGTGGAAAGCATTCCAGGACATCAAACACTTCGCAGTACCAAGATGCATTTCGCCAATTTACACAACTGCAGAAAGTTTGGAATTGCATGTCTTCGTTGACGCAAGTGATACTGCCTATGCCGCAGTGCGCATGAAAAAAGCACAAGAGGTAAACGTCGCCTTTATAGCAGGGAAAACTAGGTGCGCTCCAAAGAGAGAATCAACCGTTCCGCGCTTGGAGCTTCAAGCCGCCGTCTTGGGAAGCCGACTTAAAACATTAGTAGAAGAATGTCTCGATCGAACTGTAAACGACGTCACGTTTTGGAGTGACTCAAAAATGGTTCTTCGGTGGATTCGGTCTAGGAAACGTGATTTTAAGCAGTTCGTCGCTAGTCGAATTTCGGAAGTTCTATCAGTAACCTCATCAAGTCAATGGCGCTGGATTCCATCGGCGATTAACGTGGCAGATGAAGCCACGAAGCTTGAAGCTTCTCCAAAATGTCAAACTGATTCGCGTTGGATACAAGGCCCAGATTTTCTGTATGACAACGATAACACATGGCCCATGGAGCCAGAAAACTTGTATTCCAATCCCTGCGCGTCTGAAGAGCATAATAAGAAGATTGTACTTATAATCCACAATAGCGACATAATAGATATCACAAAATATTCCTCTTTTATAAAGTTACAGCGAGTTGTGGCTTGGGTTTTACGCTTTGTAAATAACTTAAAAGTAAGGTCACGTCTGCTTGGAGAGTTGCAGCCGAAAGATTTATCATTCGCTGAACATTTTATCTGTCGTCGAGTTCAGCTCCAGTTCTTTGAAGAAGAAATCATTGCCTTGCAAACTAAACAGCGCCTTCCCAAATCTAGTCAACTGTATCAGCTAACACCAAAGTTAGAT